CTTTCTTTGCCACTCTCGCCTCTATGTGTGTATATATAATGATAATGTTGTATGTGTTTGTGTGTATTAATTGTGTGTGTTTCCAAGCGATCGGCAGATGGCGCAATTCTTGCTCGCTTTGCACAATCTTAAGATCGCGCAGCTCTATTCATTTTCGGAAATAATCCGTAGATGGCGCGCCCATCTCGAGATGGCCGCGCTTTCTGCGGATCGTCATATGGTTCTGCGCCATCTAAGTATCGCGCTGATCGGCAAATGGGACATTACCACAGCAGACCCTAGAACACTCAGAAACATTCTCGCTTCTTGGAAAGCATATAGTGCAAACAGGGGGTTATGTGAGTTAAAACACTAATAAGCTGACAAGATATTTCGCAGTTTATAGCCGGGAACCCATTCCCACCTTGGTGAAGTGAGGAAAATTAGCATTACATGCCTTACCCAAGGACACAACGTCGGGCCACTGACAGGATTCGAACCTATGACCTCATGGTCCATGGTTGCTCTTCAGAATCCGTTTGAGTTTGAGTAAAGAGAAGCACATCGGCACAACGACGGTCATAATATTGTACAGGGAAGAAGCAAGACAGGTGACAAAAACAACAGAGGGAACAAACAAAAAATAGGACCTACCAGTGGTGCCCCCCCCAACGGATCTGTGAGGATCTAGTTTTTAGGCTACCGGACTCATAATCGTGAGGTTGCGTGTTCGGGGGGTTCGTGCGGCGGGCCCGACGTTGTGTCCTTAGGAAAGGCACTTTACACGAATTTTTCTTACTTCACCCAGGTGGGAATGGGTACCCGGCCATAGACAGCGAAAGATCTTGTAATCTGGCAGATTTAAGAAATCGCAAGGAAATAAAAGCAAAAGATACACAAAGAAATTCAGTTGACAGAGAAAATCAAATTTTATCTAAAATACTCAAAATGTACATTAATGTACGAATGGGAAAGTTTTTAAATTTTCATTGAAAACGCGAACTCCGTTTCCTCTAGCGGAGGCTCGATTTGCAGTGTGCACACATCGTCCACGGAATGATCTCGATGGCCGCACCTTTTGAAAACAACTCTATTTTGGAAGAAATGTTAGAGGAAACTGGTACAAATAAGTAAATTACTTATCTATGGTCTATAATTGTTGCATTAGAGCTCTCCTACCCAGTAGACTAAGCAAACAAACGAACAAACTCGGTGTGTATGCTGACAGAAGTTGAATGAAAGAACGTTCAATTTTATCAAGTGCATAATAATGTAGGCCTACTGTATATAAATGTTAACATGACCAAAGAAATGCCATTGACCTCAAGCAAGGAACACTTCCTTTCAAATCCAAGGACCAAACAAGAGTTTGTTCACCTCCTTAGAGGCACTCTGATGGCTCTTGGTTGCCACTGTCTTCACGCTGCTGGAGATGCCGACACACTCATAGTAAAAACTGCCATGGAGTAGGCAGCAACCCACCCTGGAGCTGTCATTTGAGAAGATACAGACTTGCTTGTGCTCCTTTGTCACCATGCACAGCTCAGTAGCAGGCCTATTATCTTCAGATCAGACAGAAAAGCTGACGACAATCACAAAAGTTGAAACATCCAGAACCTGTAGGAGAAACTAGGCGAAGAAATGTGTCATATTCTTCATGCTGTCAAAGGCTGTGATTTAACTTCGATACTTTTTGGGCTGGGAAAAATGGTTCCAATGAGAAAATTGACAGATGCTCATTTTCGAAAGCGAGCTCATATTTTTTGCAGGGCAGGAAAGACTCAGGAACACATCAATGATGCTGGAGAAAGAGCTTTAGTCAGTCTGTACAATGGCACTGCTGCAGACACCCTTGACCAACTGCGTTACAAGAGGTTCTATGTAAGGGTAGCATCATGTGCCACATCCGTCCAACTCCAATGTTTGCCGTCAACCAGTACTGCAGCCAAGTACCACAGTCTTTGGGTGTATCTTCAAGTGCAGGTAATATTCAAGACACAATAGGGATGGCAGCTGCACGATGATCACTTAGAGCCATGCACGACAGATATGCCACCTGCCCCACATTCTCTGATGGTGATTAAGTGCAGCTGTAGAACAGATTGTAAGTCCACAAATTGCACGAGTCATCGCCACGGACTGGAATGCTCCATTTCCTGTGGAGGTTGCATGGGTTTGACCTGCAAAAATTGATTGACCATCACTTACTGAGGAAGATGATATCAGTTTCCTGGAGTTTCCTGACGGGCTTGATACTCTTGAAATACCGGACACGATGAACGTGCATGATCTACTGTTGTGAAATTCCATTTGGTGTGTTTGTGTTCATATTAGGCCTCCAAGCTTTTTCAATATTACATATTCAAACAGCATTTTTGTCGAGCTTTCAAACGAGGGGCAACATGACTATGTTCTAAAAGATATTTTTTATAAAGTTGACCCCAATGATGTCATGAGCTAAAAATAGCATTTCCCATTAATGCATAAATGTACTTTTTTAATATGTTGAAAGTGACCTAATTCTATGTACATCCCAATACTTTCTGTTTCTTTTGCAATTTTTTCCTTTCTTCCAGCATTTTTGTCGTTCCTCTCCTACACTATTGTCAGTATGTTAGTGTTTTAGCGCCTTTAAATGGCTGCTTGCACTGTAGGTTTCCCAGGAAGATGAGGTTGTTTCAGAATGCTCTCAGGTCTGCTAGGGTAATAGTATACATTGTGAAGCGCATAGAGCTTGCTGTTGAGCAGGGATTTGCGCTATACAAATGCTATATATTATTATTATTATTATTATTATTATTATTATTATTATTATTATTATTATTATTATTCATTAAGATTATTATTATTATTTTTAATTATTATTATTATTATTATTATTATTATTATTATTATTATTATTATTATTATTATTATTATTATTATTATTATCAACCACCAACTTCTGTTGGTGTAGCGGTCAGCCGTACAAACACTGAAGAGCAACAAATGAACCAGTTACCTGATGATTTTATCACTTGCCTCAGCGAGTCGGGATGATACAAGTACACCAAAGGCATGAAGGGGCCGAACCACACACGCCTGAATTTTTTGAATCGTTCGGAATAAGCAACATCATACATCAGTCCTGCTTCATTGAAACCTGGGTACTGAGGACATAGAAACATCGGTTCAAACAAAGCTGATGAAATTGGAAACAAGGCTGTTCAGTGCCCTTCAGTTGGACTGCATTTTTACATGAGAAATAATAGACGAATGTTACCCTAAGGATGTTAAAATTACACTCACGCCTGCGACTTTAAAAATACAACGAGCATAAACGACAAGTATGATTACAAGGATGATAAAAGTGTAGGGTTTAAAGAAAATTCCTAACTAACAAACCCAGACATTATAGCCAGGTATCCAAAGCATGGGGTAAGCTCGTGTTAAACGTGAACTCACCGAGGGTAAATCTCCCAACAATCTACGTGTTACACGTGAACTCACCGAGTGTAAATCTCCTGACAACAATCTAATGTTACACGTGAACTCACCAAATGTAAACCATCGGACAACAATCTAGTGTTACACGTGAACTCATTGAGTGTAAATCTCCAAACAATCTAATGTTACACGTGAACTCACCGAGTGTAAATCTCCTGATAATAATTTAATGTTACAAGTGAACTCACCGAGAGTAAATCTCCGGACAATTTAGTGTTACACGTGAACTCACCGAGTGTAAATCTCCGGACAACAATCTAGTGTTACACGTGAACTCACCTAGTGTAAATCTCTGGACAACAATCTAGTGTTACACGTGAACTCACCGAGCGTAAATCTCTTTACAACAATCTAATGTTACAAGTGAACTCATCGAGTGTAAATCTCTGGACAATTTAGAGTTACACGGGAACTCATCGGGTGAAAATCTCGGAACAACAATCTAGTGTTACACGTGAACTCACCGAGTGCAAATCTCTGGACAACAATCTTGTGATAGTGTTACACGTGAACTCACCGAGTGTAAATCTCCGGACAACAATCTAGTGTTACATGTGAACTCACAGAGTGTAAATCTCCAGACCAGAACCTGGTGTCTCCAGGACCCCGGAGTCGGTTGTAGGTCTGCCGGAAGATGACATAGCGCAAGAGAAACCTTGCACAAATGACACACAGCACGGCCACAGCCACACAGACCACCAACATCCTCACCGTTGATGGATGGTCTTCTGGACACTGTCTGTGGGAAACTGAGACAAACAATCGGAGAAAAGTCAGAGTTAGTCAATTTTGTCACGACAACCAAAACGTTCTTCAAAATGAAATAATAATAATAATAATAGATAGCATTTGTATAGCGCAAATCCCCGCTCAACAGCAGGCTCTATACGCTTTACACTATATTATTACCCCAGCAGACCATAGAACACTCCGAAACATCCTCAGCTTCCCGGGAAGCATACAGTGCAAGCAGCTGATTAAGCGCTCAAACACTAACATACTGACAAGATCTTTTGCTGTCTATAGCCGGGTACCCATTCCCACCTGGGTGAAGTGAGGAAAATTCGTGTAAAGTGCCTTTCCCAAGGACACAACGTCGGGTCCCTGACGGGATTCGAACCCACGACCTTACGGTTGCGAGTTCGAGAGCCTAACCACTAGGCCACCGACGCCACATTCGAGACGAATGCTCTTTCAAATGCGATGAGATAAGAAGAGGACAGCAGATAAGAAGAAATACAGTCGAACCTGCCTTAACGAAAACCTGTATAAAACGGAAACCTGTCTTAATGGAATATCCCCGCTACTCCCTTCTTGATATATTCCTCTTTAATTACCTGTATCAAACGGAAACCTGTCCAACGCGGCAACAGAAGAAAAATCCGCTCCCTTCCGAGGGTTTCACCTGTCTAAGCTTAAGACGGAAAATGTTTTCCCCTTTCAACCCTGATTTGAAACAAAACTCGCTAGTTTGGTTCCGCCGGCTCTAAACTTAACGCTATGGTCATGCCGCTGGGCGAGGAAGAGG